AAAATGGCTCCTCAGACTCTCATCAGTTGTTTCAAAGCTCAGCCCTCCGATGAAGAGCTTCCGTAGTTGTTCGGGCTCCTTGGGAGACTCTGACTTAGACATGACAACAGTAAGAAGAGAGCCTGATGATGCTTCCTCCGCGGTGTCCACCAGCAGAAAGCCAAACCCAGCCTTTTAAATACTCTGTAGAAGTTACTAAAAGTTTCATGTAGTTCCAGATTTAAAATGGAGTTTTAGCTAATTTATTACTGATGAGGCCTCTCCTCATGTTCTTAAGATAGAGGAACATGTGGCCAAAGGCAGAGCTTGATTGCCTCACCATTCCCAAAGCAGTTCACGAGCAGAACCTGGGACCCTTTTTTCTTTTTGTAACACTAAAGATGAAAACTCACTTGAAAAATGCATTCCAGTGCTTGCTTCTTTTACTTTGCTTTCTTCTGACATTAAAAAGTGTCATTTAAAAAAATAGATCTGTCTTTTCTTTAGTGGTTGCTTTTATATACAAAATTTATTCAGTTGTACCTTCATGATTTATCTTTTGCTTTTATTTAATCATTTGATATTTTTGGCATACTATCTTAAAAATACTATTCAAGTACTGAATGTTCCTCTTATCCCATTGACTTAAAATGTTACTTGGGCACATTCTCTTGATGTGTGTGGCGCTGTTTGAGTTCCCATGTCCAGGCAGCTCGGGTGCTTCTGTACCCGCAGTGCGCTGCTCCTCAAGGAGCGCGTGAGGGTGTGGGTTCCTCTCCTGATGAGCCTCCTGGAGGTTTCCCTGAGAATGATCCTCTCATTTGTTTTACATGAATGTTGAAATCAGTTTTAATAATATAGTCTCTGGTTAATAATGTCTTAGAATGGAGTTAAATCTAAGGAACTTTGGTATATGTTCCTTTCTAGGAACAAGCTTGTTTTTTGCTTGTTTGGGTTTTCTTTGCTGCTGGAAATCAAACTCAGGAACCTATGGTTGCCTGCTAGGCAGGTGCTTGTGTCGCTGAGCTATGTCCCTGGCCTAAGAAATACATTTCTATACCTTTTTTTGGTGTGTGTATGTGTGTGTGTGCGCGATAGAGTCTGTCCATGTAATTCAGGCTGACTCTGAACTTACTGTGTAGCCCAGGCTGGCCAGCAACTCAGTGATCCTCCTGCCTCAGCCTTCCAAGTGCTGGGATTGCAGGCAGAAGTTTGTGTACTTAATCAAGTTGTCTTCTATGACCTGTAACCAAGTTTAGTTATGTAGGCCTGTAAGGTTGGTTGGTTGCAGTACTGGGTATCAAATCCAGGGCTCTGAGCATGCTAGTCCCTTTAACACTGAGTGCAGCCTCAGTCTGACTTTAGATGTTTTAGTTAGATTGTGTCCTTTTATGGGTCATAATGCCTGGGGTCTTTTATGTACTTGGTTATTCCCAGTGTATAAAAGAACTGTTGTTCACATGTTGCTGTGTCTTATGTCCTTTTTGTTACCTTTTTTTTTTTTTTTTTTTTTGGACTGGAGCATGCTATGTATGTAGTTCAGGTTGACTACTTCAAGCTCAGCAGTGGCGATCCCAGTCTCCTGGGTGCTGGACTGGGTGCTGGAGTCACAGGTGCCTGCCTGTTGCCCGTGGTCTGCTACCTCTCCTTTTGGGCTCATGTTGCACAGATGAGTTCTTCCAGTATCAGGCTGAGTAGTAGTAGCACTCACTGGACAGCTCTTCCTGTCTTTTTCTGTCACTGGGAATCTGTTGGTTAGAACTGGTGCTGTTTCTATTCCAACTTGGCATGTGAGAAAGCTCAGGCCCAGAGAGACTGGAAGTCCTGTCTGTGGTTCTCCAGCTAATAAGCAGTCGAAGTCACCAGGCAGTGGAGTCTGCGTTTAGTCATTGCGTCACGCTGCCCCCTTGGGCACAGATTTGCTGCAGCAGCGGCTACTGCACTGCATAAGGTGGTACAGTAACCAAGCGCCCAGGTGAGGAGGCAGGCCCGTTTTGCAGGTGTGTGTCCTGCAGCTGGTGTGAGAGTCCAGGCTTGGCGCCAGGTGTGTCTGGAATTCCAGCCATATATTTTTAGCCACTGCATTTTATGAAGGACTCGGACAACTTTGCCTTTCTCGCTTGATTTCCCCAAGTTATCCTCTGAACCTCAGTTTCATCATTTTGAAAGTGAAGGTAATGCCTGTGCTATAGGGATTTTTCCAAAGATTCAGTGATAAAAGAGCGTAGAGCTGGGGAGATGGCTTAGTGGAATAAGCACTTCCCTGGCAAGTGCAAGGGCCTGAGTTCAATCCCTGGTTCCAAAAAAAAAAAAAAAACGTAGAGACTCCTGTGACTGCTGTCACTAGCGGTGCAGGTGTGTATGTTGGTTTGCTTTTGCCTTGTGAGGCTGACTTGTTTTGGCTCTTTATTTCTTGGGTGAATTCTTAACAGGCTTTGAAAGATAACGAGCTGTATTTGACAGTTTAGAAAGCGATTCTTGAACAGGTGTGGAGATCCCTGTCACATATAGCTTTAAACTATGTATTTTATGAGGCCATTTCTGGTCTGTAGTCTCTCTTCATGCTACCATTTTTAGTTTATTATCTTTTATTGCTTAGTAGTTGCTCTTGGGAAGAAAGTGATGCACGTTTCATCTGCTTCTTTGTATTAGAAAATTCCCCTGCTAGAGCCTTAGGCTCCTTTTGCAGGCCTTTCTTAACATCTGGAGGTCATCATTTGGTCTGGGACGTGGCTTGAGGGTGTGTCTAGAAGCACTCCATGCTTGTGATTCTTAGTCTGCTGGAGAACTACAGTATTTGCAGCCCCTGTAAGACCATCTGCATGCGTGTATCGTAGAGGGGTAGCGTCCCTGAATTCCTCCCTCCCAGATCTTTATAATGAGAACACAGAATCTGGGAAACTATCAGAAGTGCTGGACCTGCCTGCCCTACCGTGGTGAGACAATTAGCTAACGAAGTCGAGAGCATGTGGTTGTGTGGACTGGTTGTTTCTAGTCTTAATGTCTGTGGCTGACTTTATTAATACCTTGGTCATCTTTCAGCATATTAGTTTTTCTGTTGTCTCTTATATTATGGTTGTGAGGGTACATTGAGACATTTTTGTGGGCCAGGGATATAGCACAATAGAACAAACGCTTGCCTGGCAAGTGCAGGGTCCTGAGTTCAATCCCTGGTACTGCGAAAGAAAAAAAAAAAACTTATGAGCAGCAAGTTAAAAATATGCTTCCTTGTGTGTAGTCTTTCAGCTGAGAACAGATATTGCTGAAATAGAAATAAAAGAGAAGGCTTTGGAATTCTTATAAACTTGTTATAATACCAAAACCAGTTGTGTGGTCAGGCTGGCTCCCATATTGATTCGTAACATGTTAGTTCAGGCCGTTTCCCTTTCTGCTTCCTCCTGTTCCTCCTGAGCCCCTTCTTTTCTGCTCAAGCCTTTGAGCCTGGGTTGCTTTGTCACCCTGACCTCACTGTCCCCATCCCTCTTGAGTCCGCCATTCTTTATTTTTTTTTTTCTTTTCAAAGTTTTATTGATAAACATATAGCAATGAGACAGTTTCAAATCAAATCGAAAGTACAGTTTCAACAAATAATACACTGCATACATTCTTCCTAGTGGTTAATTGCTGTACAAGATGCAGACTTGTGATCCTACTTACAAACACCATTAGAAAAAATCATTCTATTCATTAAGAGAATGCAGGGGCTGGAGAGATGGCTCAGTGGTCTAAAGCACCTACTTAGAACAAGCTTGGCAAAGCACAGGGACCACGGTTCAATCCCCCAGCACCACATGTCAGCCAGTCCCACCCCCAGGTGGGCTGAGCTGGCCACACACACACACACACAATAAATAAATGTAAAAAAAATTAAAAAAAAAAAAAAAAAAGAGAATGCAACTATATATCTATCCCAACCACTTTGAATACACAGATACAAAATGGACATGCATAGTTATACCCCAATTTTTTTTTAAGTTCCGTTGTTGAATATTATAGGTGTGTAAACTCAGCAAAATATTCTAAAAGAGTACAGAAGCCCATAATATCATTGGGTCTTCTGTTTAACTGGCAATGTCAGAAATTATTGACCTGAGTCCCCCACAGCTCAACATAACAACATGGCTTTACTTCCTATATTTCATCTTCATACTTTTCTACTGGATGGTTAAGACCAAGGTAAAGCAGGACCTGTGCAACAAGAGTTGTAGCTTTTTGGTCTGACAAGGTCAGTGAAATGCCCTCAGGATTTATCTTGAGATCCTGTACCTCAGATTGTAGAACCTTTGTCAGAAGCAGCCATGTGGATGAGTCACGGCCAATGCTTGGCCAATGTGCTCTCTGTGAAAGCCTGAGAGAGTGTCTTCTCCCCATGTGACTCTCCTTAGGCACATTCTACGTCATCGATCACTTTCCTCTTTGGCCCCATTATCTTCTTGATCAGAAAATTTGGGACACTACCAAGGTACATGACGTTACAGTACAAGTTCTCATATGTCCTGAGTCTTAATTGACCTTAGGAGTCCGCCATTCTTTTACTTGCTGCTGTGTCAACACGTTGGTCACGCAGTACACACACTGAGGGACTAACATGTCCCAGCACCGCTCTAGGGTTGTAGGCCTTGCAGGACTGTCTGCCTCCGTGGAATACTAGAAATGGAAAGTTGTTGGCAGTAAAAGAGCCAATGCCATTGTAACCATACTACCAGGTTTTGTATCTCAGTAGATTATATGTATTTATAATATACCTAGCATTTTTGAGTCTACTATTGAGTATAATTGTGAAAATGACTAACACTAGTTGTACTACTTCTTTTCTAGATACAAACCACAATACTTCAGGATCCCATTATGAGAATTCCCAGCAGGGACCTGTGTCTTCGAGTGACTCTAGCACAAACTGTAAGAATGCTGTTGTAAGTGACTTGTTGGAAAAAGAAGCATGGCCCTCGGTCCCTGGCAGTGATCCAGAGTCGGCTTCAGAATGTACGGACACTGATTCTGCCTCCAGTTCGGAATCAGAGCGAAACCTCACTATCATGGCTTCAGGGAGCACAGGGGGTGAAAGCGACAGCCTTCGGAGCAGCACTGGACTCGGTTCCCAAAGCAAGTTTGTGGTTGGCAGCAGCAGCAATAATGTAGGCCGTGGAAGTAGTCCGGGGCCGTGGGGCTTCGCCCACGGAGCCATAATAAGCACATGTCAGGTCTCTGTGGATGCTCCTGAAAGCAAATCAGACAGTAGCAACAATAGAATGAATGCTTGGGGCACTGTAAGTTCTTCATCAAATGGAGGGTTAAATCCAAGCACTTTGAATTCAGCTAGCAACCATGGTGCCTGGCCAGTATTAGAGAACAATGGACTTGCCCTAAAAGGGCCTGTAGGGAGTGGCAGTTCTGGCATCAATATTCAGTGCAGTACCATAGGCCAGATGCCGAACAATCAGAGTGTGAACTCTAAAGTGAGTAGTTCTTCTACCCATGGTACCTGGGGAAGCCTTCAGGAAACTTGTGAATCCGACGTAAGTGGTACACAGAAGGTTTCGTTCAGTGGTCAACCTCAGAATATTACCACTGAAATGTCTGGACCAAATAACACTACTAACTTCATGACCTCTAGTTTACCAAACTCCGGTTCAGTACAGAACAGCGAGCTGCCTGGTAGTAGTACAGGGGCCTGGCGTGTGAGCACAATGAGTCATCCTCAGATCCAGACCCCGTCGGGTATGAACGGCACTTCCCTTTCTCATCTTAGCAATGGAGAGTCAAAAAGTGGAGGCTCTTACGGTACTACGTGGGGTGCCTATGGTTCTAGTTACTCTGGAGACAAATGTTCAGGCCCCAGTGGCCAAGCTAATGGTGACACTGTGAACGCAACTCTAATGCAGCCTGGAGTGAATGGGCCTGTGGGCACTAACTTTCAAGTTAACACGAATAAAGGAGGAGGTGTATGGGAGTCTGGGGCAGTGAGTTCCCAGAGTCCATCGTGGGGAAGTGGAAACGGCGCCAATTCTGGAGGAAGTCGGAGAGCATGGGGAACCCCTGCACAAAACACTGGCACGAACGTACCCAGCGTCGAATGGAACAAACTGCCTAGCAACCAGCATTCCAATGACAGTGCAAATGGCAATGGGAAGAAGTTTACAAATGGATGGAAATCTACTGAGGACGAGGATCAGGGTTCTGCCACCTCGCAGACAAACGAGCAGAACAGTGTCTGGGCCAAAACAGGAGGCACCGTGGAGAGTGACTGTAGTTCGGAAAGCACTGGACGCCTTGAAGAAAAAGGAACTGGGGAAAGTCAGAGTCGAGATAGAAGAAAAATTGATCAGCACACATTACTCCAAAGCATTGTAAACAGAACGGACTTAGATCCGCGTGTCCTGTCCAACTCTGGTTGGGGACAGACTCCTATTAAGCAGAATACTGCCTGGGATACCGAGACGTCACCCAGAGGGGAAAGAAAGACTGACAACGGGACGGAGGCCTGGGGAAGCTCTGCAACACAGACTTTTAACTCAGGGGCATGTGTAGATAAGACTGGCCCTAACCCTAATGATACCTCATCTGTATCAGGGTGGGGCGATCCCAAACCTGCTCCGAGGTGGGGCGATTCCAAAGGCTCAAACTGCCAGGGGGGGTGGGAGGAGGATTCTGCTGCTACAGGAGTGGTCAGGAGCAATCAGTGGGGGACTTACAAAGAGGAGAAGTCCACGTGGAATGATTCGCAAAAGAACAGACAGGGGTGGGGCGATGGGCAGAAAGCCAGCCAGGGTTGGGCCGTTCCTGCCGGTGACAGCTGGGGAGAAGTGTCGAGGAGTAACCACTGGGGTGAGACAAGTAAGAAGTCCAGCTCAGGAGGTAGTGACAGCGACAGGTCTGTTTCTGGTTGGAACGAGCTTGGTAAAACTAGTTCGTTTACTTGGGGAAATAACATAAATCCAAATAATTCATCGGGATGGGATGAATCTTCTAAGCCTAATCCTTCCCAGGGATGGGGGGACCCTCCAAAGTCTAATCAATCTCTAGGTTGGGGAGATTCGTCGAAGCCAGTCAGCTCTCCAGACTGGAACAAGCAGCAGGACCTTGTTGGGTCTTGGGGAATCCCACCGGCTACAGGCAAACCTCCCGGTACAGGCTGGCTGGGGGGACCTATCCCAGCCCCAACAAAAGAAGAAGAGCCCACAGGCTGGGAGGAGCCATCCCCAGAATCTATACGACGCAAGATGGAGATTGATGATGGAACTTCAGCTTGGGGAGATCCGAGCAAATACAACTACAAAAATGTGAACATGTGGAACAAAAATGTCCCAAGTGGCAGTGGCCGCTCAGACCAGCAAGCACAGGTACATCAGCTGCTGCCACCTGCAAGTGTCATGTCAAACAAAGAGGCAAGCAGTGGCTCGGGTAAGCTCTTATTCTGTACAATCTGTGGTCTTGCAGTTGTGCAGGGTTCTGAACATGAGCTTGGCAGCCGCTTACTGTTAACACGTCTGGTGAACTGCTTGGGTGTGCACACAAGAGCCTTTTTGTGCTTAGAGGAAAGCTCAAAGAAAATTGTTGGGAGGGCCGGCCAAAGAGCTCAGCGGATTAAAGTGCCTGCAAGCAGGCGCAGGGGCTGGGATCTTGATCCTCAGGCCTGCCTTGCCAGGCACGTGCCTGTAATCCCAACTCTTGGGAGGCTGTACACAGGCAGATCACTACGAGTCCGACCTAGTAATGAGACCCTGAACACCCTGTAGACCCTTCCCTAAAATTAAAAAAAAAAAAAAAGAAAATTGTTGGGATACTTCCACTGAGGTAGCACAGATTCACCTCTGGCAGGGAGGGTTGTGAGCCTCGTGTACACCATTCGCGGTGTTATAGCAGAAGGCAGAATCAGGAGAGCAGGGTCGGGGTGGCATCCGCCCCTTGCCTGTGTGAGTTAGGGCTTACCTCCCTTGTTTACTTGACCAAACCCCTCAGAAATGAAACAAGTGGGGCTGGTGAGATGGCTCGGTGGTCTAAAGCACCTACTTGGAACAAGCTAAGCTAAGCAAAGCACAGGGATGGCAGTTCAATCCCCAGCACCACATGCCAGCACGCCCCGCCCCCTGGTGGGCTGAGCTGGCCACACAAAATAAATGAATAAATAATAAAAAAAAAAAGAAATGAAACAAGTATCTAAGCATAGTGCTCTTCTAAACATTTGGTGCTGTGTCTGGAGTTGAAGGGTCACCCTGTCTCTTGCAAGCTGTGGATCAAACCCTAGCCTTACACTTGCTGGACTGGGCACGTGCTCTGCTTGCGAGCTGCACCCCCAGCTGGTACTTTTTAAAGTAAGCATGAAACCCTTTTTCTCTCTCACACAATCTGTTTCCTGTTTTCTACAAATTATTTTGGTGGAATTTTCACTGAAGTCAGTTGACATGCATTATCTTTGTTATTGGAGGTTTTATTGAATACTAGTCTTGGAGGGCAACTTTCTAAATCTGATGAGGTACAGCTGCAGGTAATTATGTAATTATGTTCTTTTTTCTTTCTTTTTTTTTTGGCGGAACTGGGGATTGAACGTGGCCCTTGCACTTGCCAGGGAAGCTCTTATTCCACTGAGCCTTGAACGCTAGTCTAATTGGACATGAAAATGGTTCCATGATCTGACCTTTCAGCACCTGAGTTTTTTGGTTAAAGTCTAGTTTATTGCAGTAATTTAGTCTTAATTTTTAGAAGAAACAATTAAATTTCTGAAGAGAAGCCCTTTATTTTGTTTTAAACAAAATACGTTTATGGTTTGTTTGGTTGGCTTTAGTCAGCTCAAACCTAATAATTTTGGTTTTTAAAATAAATATTGGGTCTGGGGAGATAGCTCAGTGGCATAAGTGCCTGCCTGGCAAGCGCAAGATCCCGAGTTTGATCCTGGTTCTGCAAGAAAAAAGAAAAAGTAAATAAGTATTATTCAGTATATATAAAAGAAGGGTGCTTACCCATTGTTAGTCATGTAGCTGCTTTATGATATAGAAAGATTACAATTTTAGGGAAAGTTGTAATCAGTAGTATGAATTTCCACACTGTTAACCAGTCTTACCTGCTTTATTGAGTTCCTTAGAATGATTCAGAATGACTTGACTTTATGCATGCTCAGGAAGGGTGATTTTTCTATAATTAAAGTTATTCCAAAGAATTTGCTGTAGGCCCGGGGCAGTTGTAAAAGAAAAGGTTTTTAAAAAGCACGCCATAGAGTTAACTTACTAGTAGGAAGTGTCTTTACTTGAAGCTGGAGCTGTCCTCGCTCTGGCAGCATCATTACTGAGCACATGGAGCGTTCACTCACCCCAGGCTTTCTGAGCTCCTTGCTTCCCCGTGCCTCCTTACCAGCTGCGCTGACGACTTCTTTTCCCATACTTTCTAAAGGCTGGGGGGAGCCCTGGGGGGAGCCTTCCACTCCAGCCACAACTGTGGACAATGGCACTTCGGCGTGGGGCAAACCCACAGACAGTGGTCCCAGCTGGGGGGAACCCATGGCTGCGGCTGCGGCGTCCGGCACATCCACGTGGGGCTCCAGCTCTGTTGGTCCACAAGTGTTAGGCAAATCTGGTAAGTTAACCATAATCTCTGGGAGCTGTTTTGTAATACTGGTGACAACTCTTGGGTTACAACTAAAAAATAGCTGATGATAGGGTGTTTCTGTGTTACTGATAATGTTACCTCAGTAGTGTAGCATATTAGACGGCAGCCTGTATTTGGCTCTTTGCATTTATAACATGGGCTTTCAAAGTTTCTTTCAGTCCTCTTAGAACTGTAACTGTTAATGCTTTGCACATCTTCCCCCAACTGTAGGTTCACTGTACCAGATTGGACTGCCTAGGAATAGCCGGCCAGTTTTTGTGCTGTCTAATTTAAGGGACTGAATAGCATAACGTGGGACATATGTCCAAACTGACAGATGTTTCACTGGGCCCATGTTGTGTACGTTACATCCTGTAGGGATCCCAAAGGCCATCTGTGTGAATAAATGCCTTCTGCTTTTGCCTTCATGTGGTCTTTCACCACTCTTCCTAGAAACATGTATCAAATATGTGTCATACCGTCTAATTTCACATCTTCTCTGTCCTGTGTCACTATGCAGATTGATGAGTGGGTACAGACACGAATGCCACCATTGTCCAGGTTTAGAAGTGCTTTAATTTGTTAAAGCGTGAGCTCTATTGAAGTTTTAAATAAAAATTAATTCATTTTAATGGAACTTTTATAAAACCTGTGTTCTTGTTCTGTGATTTGGAAGAGGAGTGAAGTGTTGCTTTGTTTAGTTCCCCTCTCTAATGTATGCTTACCTTCAAGGAAGAGCTGTTTTGCTGAAGTCTGTTTCTCTTTTGTCTCACAAATGCACGATCAGGGCCCAAATCTATGCAAGATGGCTGGTGTGGCGATGATATGCCTGTGCCTGGGAACCGCCCCACTGGCTGGGAAGAGGAAGAGGACGTGGAGATCGGGATGTGGAACAGTAACTCCTCTCAAGAGCTTAACTCATCTTTAAATTGGCCACCATACACCAAGAAAATGTCATCGAAGGTAAACATTTCAAGGGCAGAGCTCTTGAAACTTAAATTCCGAAGGTAGAGTACCCACCTAAAGCTTAGCCTCTGCCTGCCCCTTTTGGGCAGTCAGTGCAGTCCAGGCAGCCCCCAACGTAGGTACAGCATCTTCTATGGGCAGCCACCTGGGCAGTGTGAGACCACAAGAACTTCTTTCTCCCCACTGCCGCAGCTTGGGGTTTCTCGCCTCCTCCCCCTCCCCCCGTGCTGCCTGGAGCAAGCCTGAATATGGTGAGGGTGAAGAGAAGGGCAAATCTCCATGTCGCCTCTTCTCAGAGCTGCGGCCCGCACACTGCCCATTCCACTTCTCCCAGGAGGCCTCAGCTTCCCCCGCGCCTGCAGTCCCTGGTCTCCTTACTCATCCATCATCTCTATCCCCCTCTCATTCTGAAAGGTCCTGTGGCAGAAATACCCAGGAGTGGACTGACACGGATGTTCTTAACTGTGGGCAGACCATATTCCCAAACGTGGCATTACCACAGAATAAAAGCATTTACTAAAGTGTGGTTTCCTGAATGCCAGTCCTACTGATGTTTTGGAAATTGGGCTGATTCCTGTGCTGACCAGTCTCCCCAAAGGTCTCTGGCTCAGAGCCCAGTTTAGGATCCACTCATTTAGAGCACTTGTTCTAAAGAGCTGGTACTGGGAACTGGTGTCAGATTCTCTTGGGGATGGCTTTAAACATGTGCCTTCTCTCCCAGAGTGATTCTGGTCTGTGCTCCACCTTGCTCGGGCATGATGACTGCTGTGGGACCTTAGAAGGCAGATCCCCAGCGAGTGGCTGCGTGAGCTGACTGCCAAGGTCCCACCTTTCAGCCCTGGGAGTCACAGTCTAGGACCTGCCCTTCTCCCTGTATGAGTTTTCATGTGGCAGAATCTACCTCTGCCTTGCCATGTAGCTTATGAAGTGCTGCCCAGTGTCTCACATGAGTCCTTCGTCCCTCAGCACCCCAGAGCTAGGTGCTGAGGAGCATGAGCCCGGAGGAGGTGGCTTCCCCTGTTGCCTAGCTAGCAAGTGGCAGCGCAAGGACCTAGTGTAGCCCTCCAGTTTCAAGCCCTGTGTTCTTCCCACTGGACCGTGCTGTTTTGTGACTTTGTCTTTCCTTACAGGGTCTGAGTGGCAAAAAAAGGAGAAGGGAAAGGGTGTGTAGCCTTTTTACTCTTTCTCCTTTGCTTCTACTAGTAAGATTCTTTAGAAAGCAACTGCAAACATTTATTTAGCTGCTGCTGTGTGCCAGGTACTGTGCTTGGTGCTGGGGATGCAGGTGCACTGCAGACAGGAGCGGCGGCTCCAAGAGGCTCATGGTCTCGGGGGCCGTGTGCCAGCCGGCCCTGGAGGGTGCCTGGTGGGGGAGTAAAGGAGGCAGCTGCTGGCATTACCAGGGTACAGCGTTTCTAGAAAGGACGGACAGGCAATCTGGCTCTCCAGTTAGGTGAAGAACAGGTTGGGGGAGTGTCTTCAGTGTCATTCCAAAGAATCTGAACGTTACTCTTCCTAAAGTGTGGAGCCAGTGAAGTGGAGGAGAGGGCAATGTCGGTGTACTTCTTAAAGAGAGCCAGCCCAGTGATAGAATGAAATCCAAGTTGGAGCAGAGGACAGAGCTGAGCTAGGTGATCTCAGGAAGCTAGGAAGGGGCTTTGATTTGGGAACAAGAGTGGGTGTAAAGGGAAAGGGGCTAATTGGAGAGACCTTTCAGAAGAGGAGAGGCCAGAGCTTCACGGCTAGGTAGGCTGGGTCTGGGAGCGAGAGAGCGAAGAGAGTTAACGATGATTCCAGAAGCCTCGGACAGGGCTGGGTGCTTGCTTCAGAGGCCTGCGCTGGGGGATGAGGAAGCTGTGTTCTGTTTCACAGTCAGAAGGAACAGGTGGCAGCAGTGGGAACGGGAGATGGAGGACCGGGTGGGCTGAACGCGGCCCTGTGCCCGTCACCGGCCTCTGTGCTCTCAGCGGCAGCAGTGCACAGCCCTGCCTTGGGCTTCTGCTGCTGATGTTGTGTTCTTGGCACAACAATTAAAAATTTTAAATATTTTACATGTGGTAGCACATGCTGTTTTTTCACTTTATTGCGGATAATTAAATTATTGGTTAGAGCCAGGCATGGTGGTGCATGCCTGTGATCCCAGCACTTGGGAGGCTGAGGCAGGAGGGTCCCTGCAAGTTTTGAGACGAGCATGGGCTACAAGGTAGACTCAAGGCCAGCCCGACCTGCAGAGTGAGACCCTGTCTCAAAACCAAACCAAAACAAAAGAAAAAGGTTAAATTGGTTTCTTTAGACTAACTCAAAAACCTAAATTACTATTTTTTACTTTGGTGTGAGGATTCCAGAACTCTTAATTCTAGTGAGTCTGGGGTCCCAAAACCCAGCTGTGAGCTGCTGAGCCAGCGCCCGGGGCAGTGTGCTCCCCGTCCACACAGGCCACTTTTCTGTGGGGGTCGCTGCACCTCTAGCTTCTGCCTTTTCCTTCTGGCTGCTGGCCTTAGAGATTCTCTGTACACTGCAGCTATACCAGAGGACTGCAGCAAAGGAAGGTGAAGATCAAAGTTGATTTTTTAAATTGTTAACAACTCGGAACAGAGTTGGAGGAGAAATTACTGGCTAAAATGGAGAGTTGGGAATTGTCTTAAAGTTGCATTAATCCATCACTGTACCCAGATAAATAGAGATGGCCATGGCATCTTTTCTACTTTCTTATTTCACAAAGGGAATGATGAAAGGTGGAAACAAGCAAGAAGAAGCGTGGATAAATCCATTTGTTAAACAGTTTGCAAATATCAGTTTTTCGGTAAGTGTGTTTTCTCAGCAGCCTTTTCCCTTTGGTGATGGTCCATAATTCCACTTTCATTTTTTATTTTTTGTTTTCTTATTTACTCTTCATCTTTGAGACCTTAAAATATGGTTAAAGACAGTGTAAAATTGGCCTTCGGGTCATAATTTTTATAATTTTAACTGAAAATTTGAATTTGCATTAAAATATAATGAAAAAGTTTTTTAGTCTACTTGAACTCCACAGATAATACTAGTAAAAATACTCTTGATTTTCATTGAAAAATGAAGGTCTAATAAAATGTTGATATTTTTTCTTAATTCAGAGAGACTCACCAGAAGAAAACGTACAGAGCAATAAGATGGACCTTTCTGGAGGTGAGAGAGCATGAAATCAGTGTGAGTTTGTAGTTACGACAGGCGGTCTGCAGTGTGGGCGTCCGGAGCGCCTGGCCCCAGCTCGAGGGCGCAGCCCTGGGCTCCTGAGGGCGCCTTCGCACGTTCTCTGGTGAACACTGCACGCCGCGGCGCTTAGATGCGCTCCTGTGCCTTCAAAGTGCAGATCACGGCGCTGACTGAAGGTGGCCAGGATGTTGATTTGTCGTCGGCTCAGAGTGCTCTCAGAGGTGCACTGTCCAGCTTGTGGGGATTTGGTGGTCTTGCTGAGAACCGCACGCATGAAGACCTAAATACTGACATACTGGCCAGCTGTTCCATATAAAATTGGTGGTTGGAGGAGAAGGGGGAGAGACAGTCGGCAGTACTTCACTTAGGTGAAGATGCTAGAAAAATAGGTAGGTCCTGACATTAAGACTGCTGAACCAGTTAGAAGTTCACTGTAGTGTAAATCACCTGTGGTGATGTGCAGAGCTGCACACTAAGAAAGGAGGAAGACTAGTTTGGTGCACATGGGACTGGCGTCAGCAGAAGTCCGTCCTTTTAACCATTGTGTTACAGAGGGCGAGGACGGTGTGGTGAGCAAGAGCTCTCAGTGTCCTTATGGGCCCTTTGGAAGACAGTCTTGGCACCCTTAGGAGGGAGGCTGGTGTCTTTGGCACAGGGAAAGTTGAAAAGCCTTAGTAACTGACCAAGAGTGAGGAGCAGTGAGTTTCTGAGTGTGGGTGGCAGATAGAAGTCACACAAGTCCAGGTGGAGGTAGGGCCCTTAGGAAGAGTGGGCTCCGTGTCCCTTCCCTCCCTCCTGATCCCCCAGCTCCCTCCTGAGCTACGCCCTTGGCATGTCTCACTGGAAGCCTCTGCTGTAGACCTCCCGGAGGGTGCGGGTGAATTTCCTGGTGAGCCAAGCACTCGGAGCCGGCTGCTGGGAAGCTTCCTGTGCACAGGAGAGCGTGTGTCAGAACCGAGGGCCAGGCCTTTCACCTTGCAGTCTCTTCCTTACCTTCTGCTACACATGAAACCAATTTGATGGACTTAGTCCTGCTCGTCCCCCACAGACCAGCCAGGGTGGATGAGCTTGGAACTGAGGCCAGCAGAGTCGGCTTGGTTCACCCCAGCCAACCAGCCCTCTGGCTACTCGCTTTCCATGCAGTCATTTAACTCCAGTGGGGACAAAGCCGGGGCTCTGTCATGTGCCTGCTTCTGTGGAAGGAGGGAAGAGGAGCAGCGCCCTGCCCTGCGGGGCGTTGTGCTGTCTCTGGCTGTGTTTGTTCCCCCTCAGGTTCTGCTCAGAGCTCTAAGGATCAAACTAAAAGTTAACTATTCTAGCATTCAGAGGTAGAAATGGGAAAGAAAAGGTAACTGTTGGCCGTACCAGTGAAGACAAATACGCTGGAAGGAAGCGTGTAAAGCACAGCAGTTGAGGGTCACTTACCTGCGTGTTTGGGACCAGAAGGGCTTCAGATCTGTCTCAGGGTTTGGTTTTGTTCATTTTGTTTTGTGTCTGGAATATTTGTGTAGGCTACCAGGGAAGCACCCCTGGTTTGAAATGCTTTGTGTCCCAGACACTCTGCGGTCTTCAGGGTAGGGCTGTTCTTCCTCCACAGCCTGCTGCTGTTACAGACAGGAGTGACTGTGTCCTTGGGCTGCTGATCCTTGCTCAGCTGTCCTCAAGTGGAGCTTTAGTGCATTCTGAAACTGACCGGCTGACCCGGCCTCTGCAATCCCAGAGGGTCTGAGTGAGTGCCTGTCGCCTTGCTGCTTGGGGTTGCTGTTTGAGTCTCTGCTGTTAGGCACAGGGTACTGAGAATCTTCCCTGTCCTCATTCTGTACCAGAAAACTGATTTCTCCTCCTTATGGAGTCGGTCACTCCAGCCCGCAGACCAGCCGCTCTGTCTTGCTCTCCGTAAGGCTGGGACGTGTCCAGGCTGCATCTCGATGTCCATCTGTGCAGGCCTGTTTTCATGTCTTTGGCTGAAGCATTCTCTCTCAAGAACTGCGTTCCATAAATCGACAGAGTGGCAGGACGGGAAGCTCAAATTCTGTTGGTAGCCTTGGGGTAACTGAGGGGAGCCGCTCCCACTTCTACCTTTTGTTCCTGGACTTGCAGGCTGTGGTAAGCGGGGAGACACACACTGTCCTGCAGGACCAGCGCCCATGCTTTAGGGCTCTGCCTGGGCCGCTGGCTAGTGAGTCTTCAGTAGGTCTTTCTGCCTGTTACGGTGTTTGGCTGTGCAGGGGAGGGCAGGTGTAGGAAACCAGCGGCTTCCATGAGTGCATTACTGCACTGTGCTTGCTATCAAAGACGTTCCTACCTGGCACAGTGCTGTGAGGAGTGCCGTGGCAATGGATACAGCCCTCTGCAAGCCCTGAGTGTTAGCAGCTTTGTAAAACTCCATGTTCAGAGTACACATCTAATCCTGTGAGGCCAAGTCTCTGCCTCCTTGGTGGCCCACTGCGTGCCAGAGGAATTGCTGTGACAGTTACCTGGTGGAACTGCTTAGAAATCTACCCTCTAGGGAAAAGTAAAAAGAAAAAAGCGAACAAGGAAACAAAGCTTTGTAAATGGGGAAGAGGGGTTCTGGGGAAGGGGGAAATCTAAGTTCAGTCATGTACAGGTACAGATTCCCTGGGATGAATCTGATCGTTACATATATCTGAATGTACCGATTAAATCTAATGTTTCAAAAAAAAAGAGAACTCGACCCTCTGACGTGCTGGAAAGCTGTGCAGGGAGAGGCAGCTCACCGACACTGCTCCACAGTGGCTTGGAGGCGGGGGAAGCGCTGGTCGGCCGTGCTGTTGGCCAGCTTGCACTGGAGGAGCTGTGCTGAGGCCAGGGCTGCCAGAGCTGCCCTTCTGCGCCGACTCACCAGCACCCTGTACGGGCCAAGCCTGGGGCCTGCTGGCAGAGGAAAAGCGGAGTCCAGACGCACTTTTGTGGAGCGGCCAGGGCGAAGTTGAACCTGAGGGACAACCGATCACTGACCATTATTGAAGGGGGAATATACCAGGCATGGTAGGGATGACAGATGAGACACTTGTTTCCAAGTTGCTATACAACCAGGTAGGAGGGCCGGGGAGGTGGCTCAATGGAATAAGGGTCTGCATTCAATCCCTGATTCCGCAAAAAGAAAAAAAGCAGGGATGAAAACCAAGTGGCAGATGTGGATCTTGAGATTAGAAACAGCAGATAACAGATGTGATCAATTAGCGTACGCTAGTAAGAAGCCATAAAAGAAGTGGCTGGCAAGACTTGGAGAGAGCGATGGGCCTGAGAAGTCAGCTACGCGTGCAGGGTGGTCTTGGGAGAGGCAGCAGCCGAGGGAAGCACAGAGGCAGAAAAGAAGAGGTCACTGTCAGGCTCTGGGTTGCCCAGTGGGTTTGTGCTACGTCACTGGTCTCTAAAGAGCCTCGAGTTGGTAGAAAAGCGGGCAGCTTTACGTTGGGCACCCAGTTGACTTTAAAAGGGGGTGTTGGTGGTGGTTTATGGAGGGGACATAACACGACTCTTAAAAGAATCTTGCACAGGAAATACGAGGGTTGGCTGGCTGGCTTGCTAACAGGATTAGATGGAAAGGGGTACAGGGTTCCAGGGGACTGTCCTCGGTGTGTGAGTGGCCGGCCTGGTGGGGAGGGTGGGCGCAGAGGAGGAGGCTATTGTGCAGGACTGCTGATGGCCAGGGTGGTTCTTGGGCAGAAAGCCAGGGCCCAGGGAGCTCAGTGGCACAACAGCACCCGGCAGGTGTGAGGGCCTAACTTTGACTCCATTAGCAAAAAAGGTGTTGAAAGTCGAATTGTTCAGATCTCTGACTCACAGCCAGAGCAGTACTTGAAGAAGTAAAGGCCTTTGTAAAATGTGTCTTAAAATTGTAGGAAGTTTGGTTTTTTTGTTAATTTTTTTTCCCTTTCCTCTTACCTGGAGGTTGTTGTCTGGGTAGTAGCAGACATCTCACAGAGTAGCAGCCACAAAGATGCCGGCCAGTAAGACTTGCGGGTGAGAATGTGAAGAGGATGTGCAGGGAGGAGAAATGAGAGTCCCCATTAGTGGTGACAGCGGGCACTCACGTGGAGAGGTAGTCCAGCCTTGGGCTGAGCACAGGTGCAGCGGCAGCCGGACGTGGATCTTCAGGGGCGCTTGAATGGAGGTGACCATGGAGACCCCATTAGTCGCATTGGAGCGAAGCACACTTACAGGCTCGGAATGCGTGAGGCCCTGAGGTGCGGCGCATTCATGGAGCACATGCTCAGGCCCGGTCACGCAAGGGAGAGGGCGAGCATGGCCGTGCTGTAAAGGAGAGGAAAGCAAAGCACCTGCTCAGTTTTAAATGATTTGTTGAGGTAATTTGGTAACTTAGGGCCTACCTGTATCCAACAAAGTTTTTTTGTTTGTTTGTTTTGGTTTGGTTTCTTTTTGCGGAACCAGGGATGGAACTCAGGCCCTAGCACTTGCCAGGGAAGCGCTTACTCCACTGAACCATCTCCCCGGCCCCCCAACAAAGTTTTGCAAGAAGCATTTCCATAGAGAAGGTCCTATTTATTGCAGAACAATCAGAAGAGTAAAGTGTAGGGATCCGTTGGGTTTTCTGTGAACCTGGGCGGCAGGAATGACAAAGATAGACAAGGAGACAAAGCTGGGCTAGGTGTGGTCACTAGTGCACCAGTGGGCAAGGCCAACTCCACACATAACAAACCGATCCTTTATACTTTTGCAGTTTGTAACACGTGACACAAGGTTGCCTAGCAACTAACAGCTGGCCTGAACCAGACAGGGTGTTTCCTCAGGACTGAGGTATCTTGTTTGCTTTAGGCACTAAGGCCACGTCCCACCTACACACGTTTGATCATCAACTGTAAAGGATGAAGAAGGCCTTAAGGAGCACCGAGATGGTGCATGGCACAGGAAACACTAACTGGAGGGTTGTCGAACTGTACTTTTCAGGGCTGGCCAGATAGCTCAGCGGAAAGCATGCTTAGGCAGACACGGGCCCAGGGTTTGATCAGCGATTGAGACGGCGTGGTGGCACACACCTGTAATCCCAGCACTTGGAAGGCTGACCACAGGCGAATCACTGCAAGTCAGATCTATGTAGTGAGACCCTGTAGACGCTGTACTAAATACATAAAACTGTGTGCTTTTCCTGATTTTATTATTGTTAATGGAACTTTCTATTATAAAATTAAGCAGTTTGGAAATGACTGAGAATTTCTTAAACTATGTCGTTTGAAAGGTTTTTAAAGTCAAATTACTAGCCACCTTCCATTTAATAGTCTGCTTTCACGTTAATTCATTCATGAACAGTACTGTTTTAATGCAGCCGCACCCGTGAGGAATGCAGGACGTGTGCCATGCAGATGCGCTGTCACAGGTGCTTGTCGAGGTACAAGTCCGTTTGGACAGTGGCTGTTCTGCTTGCTGTTGTAAATTATCCCAAGTCACTCGGGTTATCTTCCTAATGCTAATGTCGTCTCCTGTGTTTATTAGGAATGTTGCAAGACAAACGGATGGAGATCGATAAACACAGCCTAAATATTGGCGATTACAATCGAACGGTCGGGAAAGGCCCAGGTTCTCGGCCTCAGATTTCCAAAGAGTCTTCCATGGAACGCAGTCCTTATTTTGATAAGGTGAGGGTTTCTTAGTGGTGATGGGTTTTTTCTAGCTCTGTGACTGATAAACCGTATATATACTCAATAGTATAAGTGTTCACGTGAATATTGTAGAATGTTATATGTGATAAAAGTTACAATCCAGTGCCCTATTCTGTTAATGGGTTTGTAGTTTGTTGCCCCAGTTATGTCTAAGTTTAGCATAGGAGTTGCTTTGTATTTTCTTCTTAATCCCATAGAATATGTTTGGCTCTTTATGTACTCTAGAATTAACACTAATCTGATCTCTTCTGTTTTCTGCCTGTTTCCTGTTGATGCTGGAATGTCATGTGACTTCTGTTCCTGCAATGATTTCTCCCTTCCACTTGTTTGCTTGGCTGGTGTTGCACGTCTTTCTGTCTGTCCAATCAGGATGGCACTGTAGCAGATGAATCCCTAAACATGCAGTTTATGTCCGGTCAGAGCATGAAGCTCCCCCCTTCAAATAGTGCACTACCTAACCAGGCCCTGGGCTCCGTAGCAGGGCTGGGTACGCAAAACTTGAATTCTGTTAGACAGGTAAGTCTAGATGTGTATTTTAGGCTCTCTGTTGACTCATTTGTATTAGTAATAAGATTGCTCATACATGTAGTTACTGTGCGTAACTCCACAGCGTGAGCTGGTAATGAGGTCCTGTCTCGTGTGCTGTCTTCACAGAATGGCAATCCCAGTGTGTTTGGTGTTGGAAACACAGCAGCACAACCCCGGGGCGTGCAGCAGCCTCCCGCACAACCTCTCAGCTCATCTCAGCCTAATCTCCGCGCTCAAGTGCCTCCTCCATTACTCTCCCCTCAGGTAAGTGCCTTTCCACCTCACTCTGCTCTGCATACCTGGAGAAGCGCCCGGCCTTATTTCATCTGTGAAGCATGTGGCTAGGCCAGCATCACATTTGCTGGCAGCTTTGGGGTGTGGCAGATTCCGATTAGCTGTTACTACAAAACTGAGTGGGAAAGATGAAGAAAAAGAGTTACGTAGTTTTGGTTTTGGTTTTGGTTTTTTTCCTAATACAACGTCTTGGGAGAACAACAAACTAATTGGCTAGCTTAAGGTTCAGCTTTGTCATCTTTAAAAAAGTATCTGTGAATAATTGGGACAGATGCAAAGACTGTAACATCCAGTGACTGTTCCACTAGTTTAAGTGTTCTGTTGGTAGGATACGTGGTGCGTTTAGCTGGTCTGCGCTACTTAATCAGCATCATTAACTTACCATTGTGATCCTAAGGTTCCAGTTTCATTGCTGAAGTATGCACCAAACAACGGTGGCCTGAATCCGCTCTTTGGCCCTCAACAGGTAGCCGTGCTGAACCAGCTATCCCAACTAAACCAGCTTTCTCAGATCTCCCAGTTACAGGTAACACATTTACTTTCTACTTAGTGCTGCCAAACTGCGGGGCTCTGTGCGGGGAGTGCAGCGGAAGCAGAGCAGGCACAGTCAGCCCGCAGAGGCCAGGTCTGTCAGAGTAGACGGGGCGCCAGGGCATTTCCGAGAAGCGGGGGAGGCTTTGAGGTGCGGCCCGGGCGTGTCTAGAGTGGTGCCAAGAAGCTTTCCTGTAGAATTGAAAGCTGAGCTTGAGCTTCAGAGACCGAGCTTGTACAGCAGAGCAGGAAGCAGAGTCCCAGGAGGGGGCGGGTGTAGGGAGCAGTGGCTCCGCGGTGGGCCAGCAGCCATAGTTACTTGGAAGCAGCCTAGTCCAAACGATGGGAGTAATGCCTGTTTGCCTCCCCCAGCGATTGTTAGTGCAGCAGCAGAGGGCGCAGAGCCAGAGAAGCGCGCCTTCTGGGAGCCGACAGCAGCAGCAGGACCAGCAGGTAGCTTGCTTGTGGCGCGGAACTCGGCTTTCAGCATTGCCCTTACTGTGAGAGCAACCACACAGAAATTCCATTCGCTCAGTGAAGTGTGTTGTTCATCAGTCTGCCCTTTGCCCATGAGCCATGTTAACTATCATACTGTGATTGTTCACCTTCCTTTTGAGAAACAGGTGAATTTTAAAATGAGGACTAGGCCAGTGTCTATAACCTTTCCCCCGCACATCCCCCACTTTGTTGTTTCCAGGGTCGACCTCTTGGTGTGCAGCAGCAGATGATGCAACAGCCTCGCCAGCTAGACCCAAGCCTGCTGGTGAAGCAGCCGTCGCCCCATCAGCCAGCTGCGAGGTCTTTCCTGGACACCGGCACGCCTCATGCTGCCCCGGAGCTGCAGAAAGGGCCGTCGCCAGTGAGCGCGTTCAGCAGCTTTCCTATAGGTGGGCTTCCCTGGCTGCATGAGCCGCCGAGCCCGGGCCTGCATGCCTTGCCCTTTCTGTTCTCTTCACTGGCAGAGTGCGCCACCCCTCCCAGGCACAGCGGCCCTCCTGCTTCAGGGACAGTCTCGAGGGAACAGCCTCAAAAGCTGTACCTTAGCTTAGAGTGGGTTCTAATAAAGGAATCATTGCTTTTTTAATACCTAGCTAGTCTTTTTTTCCCCCTCTCACCTAGAGTTTAATTACAGGCTCTGAAGGGATGAGAAATCTGAAAATACTGTTAATAGAAACCGTGTACCAGATGGCCATGCATGTAGCTCAGTGGCAGGGCGCCTGCCTGGCAAGCAGAAGGTTGTGAGTTTGATCCTCGTACAAGAAAAAAAAGCATGGAGACTCTACTAGAGAACTTGAGTAGTGCTGCTTTGGGGAGGCCAAGGAATGGGAGTGGTCGCTAGTGTGTTTGCTAGATTTCAAGCCCTGGCGTTTGGCTGGTTACTGACGTTAAGTAAGCAAATGGGCCGCAGCGAGGGCTGCCTCATGCCGGCCGGAGCTTCCCGCCAGTGCTTTCCTTTGCTCGGTGTAAATTTTAGGCATCTACAGTTTTTCCTTAGTGAGCCCCTCTTTTATTATCTTTTGATCCCTGTTCATGTTGTATTCATTTTGCTTTCTTTCTCCTTTTGCCCAGTTTTTTTCTAAACCAGCTTGTTGGTTTGTCTTCTAGTCCTCTGGAAGTTCAGTGTATTGGCTGTTCTGAGCTGTGGCCCGAGGCTGGGGCCTCCTGCTGTGTTGCCGCTGGCCCCTCTTGGCTGGATGGACACGTGGCATGACTCCGTGCCGTGGTTCTGTGGCATGCTGTGGACCCTAGCTGGGGCATCAGCTGAGCCTGCACCCAGGGCTGCGGGCAGTGCCGCACTTCAGAGGCAGGTGCCCTGCAAGCAACTGCGCTTGGCTCCTGGATGTCACCTGGCGGTTGCCTGGCAATCCCTGAGACAGCTGTGTAGTGGTAAAGAGTGCCCAGACCTGGCAAGAGGTGCTTGGGATGCGCCTCTTAGTGTTTGACTATGCTTTTGACATAGGAAATGGGCCGGTGAAGAGACCCGTTTGAAATAAAGGATTTCCTGTTCTGGCTGACAGAAAGGCAGTATAACCCACCAAACACCAGTGCGGTGGTCTGGGAGCAGGTCAATACAGCCTGTTGTTCAACTTCAATCTGTTTCCTTTTTTTGTAAATAAAATTTTTTTGGACAGTCATGCTCTTTAACATTGTCTGCGACTGCTTTTGGGTGACAGTAGCTGAGTTGCACAGAGGCAGAGGGAATCATAAAACGTAAGATACTATCTGAACTTTTTTAGGAAAAATTGCCAGTTGTTGATCTAATCAGTGGCTGTAAGACAAGTTTGATGCTCTTGCAAAGAGGGGATATTTTAGAGAATTCAGATTGGTTAATGTTTTAAGTTTGGCAGAATAATATCACAGACTGTCATCAGACCAAAGAATTCAGAACCATTTGATTGGAAACTTTAAGAAGCACTGTGAGTGTGGTAAAGATTTTGACTTCTGGAAAGCTGCCTTCTGTGTGGCAGTGTGTGGTGGTGGTCTTCGAGGCAGGGTTTCTCTGTGCTGGTAGGCCGTCCATGAACTCACTCCGGTTCAGGCTGGCCTCAGCCTCCTGAAAACTCCGATTACACGTGTGCAGACCATGCCTCGCCAAGTCTCCCGGTTTTCGTAGGCATAGTAGATGATTTTCTAATAGTCTCCAACTCAACACTGGAATGCTGCTGAGTTTCTGGCCCCACAGTATCTGAGTCTGAAATTCGTCTTTGTTCTAAGAGAATATTGGACACACCTCTTTGACACGGTTCAAATAATCTTGCCATGGTACCGGGAGTCACCTGTTGGGTGGTCCTGCCCTCCCCACGTGGAAATGGAAGTTCTAGGTCTTTTGAGAGAACTGTTTTCTCAAGCACAAGGGCCTGAGTTCAATCCCCGGTTCTGAAAAAAAAAAAAAAAAAAAATCTTCAGGTAGGTAGGTCCTGAGTCATGGAATTACCTGGCTGGGTTTACATTTATAAGCCTCGGTCTCAGTGCTCAATTACTGAGATTAAGCACAGGTGCAGCACAGCTGAGGGAGGAGACGTTCGCTTACTTTGGAAGGACAGCATCCTTCTTCCAGTCAGCCACGTGGAAGTTGTGCAGTTTGCCGGCTGCTGAAGGGGCTGACATAGGCTTTGTGCGTGTTACTCCTGGGAAGTGGCTACATCAGATACATTATTAGGTTAAACTTGCAAACTTCATAATTTGGCCTCCTTAAAAGTCTTTTCCTTTGCCCAGAGTTTAATCAGAATATCTGAAGAGGTTGTTTTGTACACGTAGTTACAGAATGGCTCCTTCTGTGGTTTAAAATCCATGGGGTGATAAGAGTAAGGGCTTGGAGGTCACGCCAGCGCTCTCTGGTACCCTCCCCGCGCTCTTCCTGTTGCCTCTGCCTTGCCTGGTCAGCAGCTAGCGTCTGTGCTGCCTGTGCTCTTTGGTCGCCACACACGCATGGTGGCCTTTATTAAGGGGTAGTAAGCAGGGGTCAGAGTTTTTAACAAGTTTTTTTTCTTTTTTTTTTTTTTTTTTTTTGGCAGAACCAGGGACTGAACTCAGGCCCTTGTGCTTGCCAGGGAAGGGCTTATTCTACTGAGCCATCTCCCTGCCCCGAGGCTGTGCTGTATTTTATAAAGTGTTTTAGTTTTGATTTTGTTCTATTTTGTTAAGGCTTGAACTCAAACTTGAATGTAAATATGGATATGAACAGTATTAAAGAGCCACAGTCAAGACTACGGAAGTGGACTACAGTGGACAGCATTTCTGTGAACACATCTGTGGATCAAAACTCCAGCAAACATGGTATAAATTCTGTTTGTTTGTTTGTTTATTTATTTATTTAGTGTTTTTGAGACAGGGTCCACGCTGCAGTTCAGGCTGGCCTTGAGCTCACTGTGTAGCCCAGGCTGGTCTCGAACTTTAGCGATCCTCCTGCCTCAGCCTCCCCAGTGCTGGGATTACGGGCACGCGCCACTGTGCATGGCTACCAAGTTTTGTTCTTAGGCTTTCTTCCTTTAAGAAACTATAAGCTTACAGAATATTAAATGTGGGCCTTTATGTTGTGTTACATGGGTATTTCTTAGACCTTTTCTCATTTAAAAAAAAAATGCTTTTAGCTGTGGACAGGGGCTCACACTTCAGTCCCAGTATTCTGGGAAGATGATGCAGGAGCGTCATGTGGTTGAGTCATCACTGGGCAACTTACCAAAACCCTGTGTCTGAAATAAAAAATACAAAGGGCTGGAGATGTAGCTCTGCGTGGAGGACCTGTGTCCAGCCCAGTACTGCAGAAGGGGTGGAGATTGGGGGGCTTAAGGCTTAGTTGAAGTAAGAGACTTTAAAATGAAAAGCAAACTTCAGTCCTAGTCTGTTTCACAGATGATCCATTTTGAAAAATTATTCTTCTTTTGGTGGTCATTGGGCTTTTCCAAGTGATTTTATTGGTGTATGTTTTAACATTTATTGAATATAACTGGGTATATTCATAGGTACTAAAAATTAATACTTATTTTGTAGTGACACATTTTTATTGTTGCTGTGTATGAATTACATAGACTTGCTTTTATTGTTTCCTCAGCACTTCACATTTCTCTTAGAAATGTCATTTTCATATTCTTTCGTCCAACATGTGTTATAGACTTGCTTCTGATTTCCAAGGACACTCACACACGCCTGTGTACACGTACACTGTTGAAGGCATGCGACTGTGTGGGTGTCTCAGAATGCTAGTCCTGGCGCTGGGGATGTAGTGTGTGGCACAGCGTCTGCTGGGAAGCCTGTGGCCAAGAGCTGAATTCGCAGTACCACTAGAAGAATAACATTTGTCCTGAAGGCGCTCACTAGCAAAAGCCAACATAAACACCCTCTGCATGATGTAATAGGTACCGTAGTGGATCCGGAGCAAATATAGGACACTTTTATGCCATAATGATTTTTAGAAATTCAAAATAGTGATTTCAAGCCATGTTCAAAGATGGGTATGGACAATAAATCATAGACAAATGGTTTCTTCTTTTGGGGGGCCGGGATTGAATTCAGGCCCTTGCATTTGCCAGGGAAGCTCTTACTCTACTGAGCCATCTCCCGGCCCCTGATCATTTCTGAGGGAGGTGGCGGGCTGTGCAAATGGGCCAGCAGGCCGAGCACGGGCCTGGCAAGCACGTGCACTGGGCTCAGTCCCTGCCACCTCATGCTGTGTTGGCCCCGCCTCTAAGCTGCCGAGTGAGGCCCTGTACCAAGTAAGTGAAGTTGTCTGCGTGGAATTTGCACTCAGCGCCATATCTTGGTGTGTGGGGCAGAAATATACACATCCTGATAGCAAAAGATGCTGGCTTCCTTTCACTGCATGTTTATTATCTCACAGGCCTAAGTTTCCTGCATTCTTGACAGTATAAAGCCTCTTTGCCATTCACAATATTCATACTGTAATCCTTCCTGTCACGTTTGTTTTCCTCCATCTGTATTCCTTGTTCTGCTCCAAAATGTACGAATCAAGTTAGGCCAGAGTGCAAGTGTGTTGCAGCTGGGGAATAACTGGATGCCCATGCTCTGCTCGGTTACGTCAGGCTCCGAGCCGCACGGCCTTGGAGTTCAGTGCACCGTGGTCCTTTTCAGCCATTCCTCAAGTCAGACGCTGGGCTCCTCACGTGGACAGAGTTGAGAGAGAAGCCTCAGAGAGCGCACGCCTGGGCCTCCTCTGTGAGAGCTGTCTCCCCACGGAGCTCCAGGGCAGCTCCCCGTGTCTGCTGGCCGGCTACCGGAGAGGAGTGCGTGGTGCGTTCTGCTCACGTGGGTGCTCGTCTGTCTCCTCAGGTGCTATTTCAAGTGGTTTCAGGCTGGAAGAATCTCCATTTGTTCCCTATGACTTTGTGAACAGCAGTACTTCACCAGCCAGTCCTCCGGGCTCAATAGGAGACGGCTGGCCACGTGCCAAATCGCCGAGCGGCTCTAGCAGTGTTAATTGGCCACCAGGTAAGATACTGGTACCCTCTGATGAGACTGTGTCCAGTGAGAATTCAGTGACATCTAGAACTGCTAGCATCATAACCCTGCTCTGTGTGACTGGGCAGGTAGAAGGTGTGCAGAAGTGATGCAGCCCTGGGCGTAGTGGCAGGAGGGGAGGAGCCTTTTTTTTTATAGTTCAACCAGGTATTTTATTGGTCTGGCAATTGCAAAATATACAGATGTCTCCAAGGCATTCCCTGTTTGAAAGCCAGCACAGTTTCAATCCAGGTCATTAATTCAGACAAATATACAGAAGTCGGAAGTCACACATCAGAGGCCCCCAAACCCACTGACAGTTAAACTCAATCTGTCAGCAGAGGAGCCTTGATGGCAGCAGGAAGAGGCTCAACCAAAGCCCCCGCCTGCTGGCCGTCCTCAGCTCTGTGGGGCGCTGGCCGGACTCCTGGGCACGCTGAGGAGTCCGTTGAAGGCTCCCTGGCCTGCTTTGTTCTGCTTGAGTTGCTCTGGCTTTGTGACTGAAGTGAGATAAAACACTGCGTCATGTTGTGACCGTGTATAAACCCAGGGAAAGGACAGCAACTGGAAGAATGGGCAAGACCCTCAGAGCAAGTGGCCTCCTTTATGCCGTGTTACCACATCAGTCTTAGAATGTTAGTGTAAATGGGGATGTGTGTGAAAACTGCATAGAATTTAGGAATAAAAATTTCGGATGTATAAGAATGGATTCTAAAGTGGTAACTAAGCTTTGAGCTAATTTTAAGTTTCTACTTGCAGAATTTCGCCCTGGTGAACCATGGAAAGGTTATCCAAACATTGACCCTGAAACTGACCCTTACGTCACTCCTGGCAGTGTCATAAACAATCTTTCAATTAATACTGTGCGGGAAGTTGACCACCTCAGGGACAGGAACAGTGGTACGTCGGGGCCTGGGTCTCAGAGCGACACGCAGCCATGCATTTCAGGGTACTTGATGTACGGGTGGCGTTCCCCACAGCAGCACTCCCGCCGCCGGCACCTCATGGCCCCAGCCCCAGCCCGCAGGGGTGCGTGAACGTGGAGCTGTCAGTGCTTGGTGCTGAAGGCCACTTTTAAAGCAGTGAGAACCTAGTGTCAGTGATGAATGTAGTGTGGACACTTGCTGCTCAGTCATTCTCTGAGGATTGGTGATGCGGGCTTGCGCTGCGCATTCAGAAGCAGCAGGTGAGGCGCTCTTTGGTTCTCGGGGTGCAGAGGCCACCTGTCTTACCTGCTGACCCAGGTGGACTTTCAAGGGGGCTGCCAGGTAAAAGCACCCCGTAACCATGGGATCCTTTTTCACTGCAAGACATTTATAGTATTCTGTCTCTGGCTTTGCAGTATAAAAAGGTGACTGAAATGAGTTTTGACGTACTAAAAAACCTGAAAAATATTTTATTTCTATTTAAAAAAAAAAAATTCCAGCTATCTTTTTGCCTAGTTTTATAAGAAAAACTAGTCACCATTTTGAATTAAAAGTAAAATTCAATAAATGCTTCCCTGGCATGTGCAAGGGCCTGAGTTCAATCCCTGGTTCTGCAAAAAAAAAAAAAAAGTAAAGTTCACCGAGACAGCAGGTGTCTGCCACATCCCATGGTAAAGGAGGTTGTATTCATCTTGTGAGCTTGGCAGTCTTGGAGACTACAGGGTGGAAGCTAAAGCTGTACTTCGTGGACAGTAACGGGGGAGCCTTGCGGGACCCCGGCGGAAGCGCTTCCTAGAAAAGTCCAGCGGCTTAGGAGCCAGGGCTGAAAGCTGGGACAGCTGCTGCTCGAGGAACGCCAGCTGACAGCTGAGAGCACACTGATCAGCGCGGTACCCAGGATGGGCTGGCTTGGGCGGCCAGGCAGGGCCACCGTGAGGTGATTGGGCTTGAGGCGAACTCAAGAAAATACTTTAGTACCGGAGAGAGATGAACGTGGAGCTCGTGGGGGAAAGCCGGAGGGAGACCCGGCTTGCCGGCCGCGGGTGCCCTGGGTAGCAGGGAGAAGTGTGCTGCTAAGAGGCCAGCACTGCGAGGGCAGCCTGAGAGCAGCGGCATGGCCAGGTCCTGTCCTGGCCAGCTGCCCCGCCCACACCCTCGGAGCACTCGGGCTCGAGGCCCGCCTCCGCCGTGCGCCATCAGGCTGCGGCTCTCCTGGGTTCTTTTCCTCCTTGCGCCTTGCCCTGGTTAACTGGGCCCTCCCTGCAGGGTCCTCCTCATCCTTGAACACCACGCTGCCTTCAACTAGTGCCTGGTCATCCATTCGTGCCTCCAACTACAGCGTTCCCCTCAGCAGTACAGCACAAAGCACTTCAGGTGGGCCGGCTGGTGGGGCACGCGGGCCCTGTTTGTGACCCTGGGACTCTCCTGTCCAAATGGGCTGCTGCCTCAGCTTCCACTGCACACCATTGCCCTTGGCCGAGCGTTCTCTCAGCTTGGAAGTTAGAATTTTATCTCAAGCAGTCCTTAAGATGGCTTCAGAAAAGTACCTTTTATTGAATAATTCCCAACCCTTTATAGCTTGATACATCTGTAAAATATAGTAAAGACGAATTTTGAATTGCCGTAGAAGTGATCAGATTGCTTGAGCGTCAGGTAGTCACACAGCTGTGACTCCCTGAACGTCCACACGCGTCACACCCAGGAGCAGCCGTCAGGGCCCACCTTGGCCCAAATGCCTCCTGTGTCTGGAACCTTCGGGAACGTGGCATGGGCGTGCGGGGGCGGGGGCGGGGGTTGCCCTCCGGGTGTGTTGTTTTTCTGGAGTATTTTAGCTGGATGTAGGGTTTGTTTATAAGAATTTCTTCTCGGGTGGTAGGCTTTTCGTGGGACAGTGGATGCCATTAAGTAACATTTCTCTTTCCTTAAACGTTACCCACTCCCTCCACTGTTCTTACCTCCTCGGAATAGCCAGAAATAGTGATTCCAAATTGACGTGGTCTCCTGGTCCAGTTACGAACACCTCTCTGGCACATGAGCTGTGGAAGGTCCCTCTGCCACCTAAAAACATCACTGCTCCGTCCCGCCCACCTCCGGGACTGACTGGTCAGAAGCCGCCTTTGTCTACGTGGGATAATTCTCCCCTTCGTGTAGGTGGAGGATGGGGAAATTCTGACGCCAGATACACCCCAGGTAGGGTGCAGACGCGGGCCGTCTGCTGCTCAGTGAGCAGCAGCTGTGTTTAGCGGAAGCCATGTTGTCAGCCTCTGTAAGGCGGAACGAGAACTTAGCGTGGGATTCCTGGTGCTGCTTTTTCGGTAGAATACATTTTAAAGTGCGTGGTACGTGGCTCGGGCAGGCTTGAGGAGAGACCATGCCGGGTGGGGCAGAGCCCTTAGGTGGCAGGGCAGGCGCAGCCCAGCGGGCTCCTGTAGGAGTGTGCGACCAGCCCCGCCTGGCGGGTGACCACACAGGTACTGGTGGACAGGGCCATCCAGGAGGAAGGGGACCTCTGCATGCTGTGAGGAGCAGCGTGGCACGTGTGTGGCTCCGTGGCCCTGCCCACTGCCCCTCGGCCAGGAGCGCTGCTGAGTGTCCGTGCTCCCGTGCTGGAGATGAGCAGAAAACTTCCTGGTTAGTGTCTGAACCAAGAAGAACGTTTTTGGCCAGGCATAGCAGTACACACTGCAGTCCTAGCACACGGGAGGCTGATGCAGGAAGATGGCCATGAATTCAACTAGAAAGTGAGACCCTGTCCCTAAGATCCAAAATTCTTGTTTACATACAATATTTTGTTATCTCCCTTGTAAGTTTTGATCTTTAGACAAGTGATTGGTGCAGTTAAGTTTACAGGAGGGCTACTCCAACCTACTAAATGCAAATTAGTGTGAAAGCGTGTTATGAAGACTTGGTAACAGGGTGCATGAGCCACCCTCAGGCAAGTGGGGAACAGGCCGGCCACAGCTGAGAGACACAAGAGCTTGGAAAGTCCCTGTTGCCACCGGTGGGGGTGGGGCAAGGACTGGACTCCCGCGTCAGCGTCAGCACGCTCTTCCTCAGCTGTATCAGGTGTCTGCACAGAGGGGCTCCGTGTGGTGGTGCGTGCCTGTAATCCCAGCACTTAGAAGGCTGAGGCAAGAGGATTCCCTGCAAGTATGAGGCCTTGAAAAACTGAGGTGTTGTTTTTTTTCGTTTAGGTTCCAGCTGGGGTGAGAGCAGCTCAGGGAGAATAACAAACTGTCTTGTTCTGAAAAACCTCACACCTCAGGTGAGGATGCCGACCCCCGGCACGCTTGGACGTGTCAGGGAGTAGGCACTCAGGCTTCCAGGCCTGCGGTGGCAGTCAGAGCTGAGCGGAGGATCGGCCGCAGGTGCCTCTGGACTGTCCCAGTGGCCATCACTGGATAAGGCACTAGAGAGCCACTACAGACCCCCAATTCCCTGGGGCAGGCGGGCGGGCGGGGTGCAGGTGGGCCTCGGGCTGAGCCTCAAGAGCCCTGGTCTGGCCCTGCGCCCCTCTCCGGGAGGCCGTGGCTCCTGAGGACCCGGGTGTCTGGGGAGGTCCAGGGGCCCAGAGGCCACAGGGGTGGGGCTCCAGGACCCAGAGAGGCAGGGCCGGGCTGGGCCACCCCTCACGCCAGCCCCCTTGCAGATCGACGGCTCCACTCTGCGCACGCTGTGCATGCAGCACGGCCCACTGATGACATTCCACCTGAACCTCCCCCACGGGAATGCTCTGGTCCGGTACAGTTCGAAGGAAGAGGTCGTGAAGGCACAGAAGTCTCTGCACATGTAAGTCGGCTGCAGGCTCCTGGGGGCAGCTCCCGGCGGTGGGGATCCCTTGGCTGCGCGCCCGCTCGCACCCCCTTGGGCGCTGGTGTGGGCAGAGCCACGCAGCGTGGCCACCCCCTGACCCTCACTCCTTCCCCTAGGTGTGTACTGGGGAACACTACTATTCTCGCCGAGTTTGCCAGTGAAGAGGAGATCAGTCGCTTCTTTGCACAAAGTCAGTCCCTGGCCCCTTCTCCTGGCTGGCAGGCGCTCGGGTCCAGCCAGGGCCGGCTGGGCTCCCTCGACGGCTCCCATTCGTTCTCCAGCCGGACCGATCTCAATCACTGGAGTGGTGCTGGGCTGTCGGGGGCCAGCTGTGGAGACCTTCACGGCACTTCCCTCTGGGGGACCCCGCATTACTCCACAAGCCTGTGGGGGCCTCCGAGCAGCAGCGACCCCCGGGGAATGAGCAGCCCCTCCCCCATTAATGCTTTTCTTTCTGTTGACCACCTGGGTGGGGGCGGAGAGTCCATGTGACGCGTCGGTGTGGACTCGCACTGTGACCTCAAGACAAGGAAGGAGCAGGAGCAGTCAGCTGGGCCGCGCCTGCAGCCGGGGCGCCTGTGGGAACAGCTCTTCTCTGCACATTTTCCACTTTGTTTTCCCCAAAACATATCAGTTTGAATACTTGAATCATGCAGGCCAATATTATAATGTGAAAGGTATCTATTTACACTCCCCAGTGGCGCCATACATGCTACCCCGTAGTGAGCTCACGTGTGCACATCCATCATGTGTAGCCTTTGATCCACCCCCAGCCCCAGAACCGTTTGGGGCCGATCGTGTCTGAGCTTTTACCTTTGCACTGATAAGTTCTCTCCGTCCAGTCGCAGCATGGGGGCAGCTGTCCAGTGTGAATGTTTACTCAAGGACGTCCTTCAGAGGTGTGCGCTCTCTACTATGCCTTGTCGTTGCGACCTTCATGTGGTACCGCGGAGTAAGATCAAGGATGATACTGACGTAGGATTAGTAATGGAAGTATTGCACCAGTTTTTTTCATGTTGTAAAACTAAAGAATTTCGCTCTGCAGTTTGAAAAACTGTGGCCACAGCTGTGACTTGCAGCCTCCCTGCCACCCAGGGTGGCCCTGCACTTTGAATAGGCTTTCCATTTTGTTTTGAAGGTTCTGTCGAGCCTTCTTGTTTACAGATTTTTTTGTTTGTTTTTTGAGAAAAAAATGTTTACTCTTCCATCATTTAAAAAAAAAATTAAAAGACAAAAAAAAATGGAGGATGATTTAAAAGATGCTTTCTATCTCTGGGAAAAAAGGAGCAGCATTTGGCCATGTTCTTTTGTTTTTCTATTCCTGTCCTAAATCAAAGAGCATGGTTCTCAGGAAAACCAGTTCCCCAGTTTAAAAAAAAAAAAAAAAAAAAAAAAGGAAAAAAAAAAAACCTTGTAGTTTCTTATAGGAAAAGAAGAAAACCCCCAACTTTTAGCACTGATACTACGTACTACGTATTGCTCTGTTAAATGATTTTCTCTGCCACAAAAAGAAAAAATACAGAAAAAAAACTGCTTAAAGCTGGAGTTTGACATTCTGCTTTCAGATGCTGTCTTTTTATTAGTGAGTGATGATGGTTTGCTAATAATCAATAGGTAATGATCTTTTGTAATCCCATCAAGTGGCTCTATGTTTCTGCTCTCTTGTGACTGTGTTAATGTTTAACTGTTGTACCTTAAAGCCGAAATCAGTAACTATGCATACTGTAACCAAGGTATTGGGCTTACAGAGTTGTTTGTTGTATAAAGGAAATTTTAAATGTCGTTGCAAACTAACGAGTTACACCATTTTTAGATTTCTTCCCCCTTCCGTTGCCCACAGATGGTATTATAATGCTTGCTTAGTCGACGGAGAGGCTAAACAAGGGTAAAGATTTTAACAGTGCAGAATTTGCCATCATTTCATTGCCTTGATTCTAACTGTTTGTGTCCTACGATGCAAAAGAAGTCAGTGGCTTTTAACTGTTTACAAATAGAATGTGATTGTAAAGTGTACAGTTTGGTTGTGTTTGAATTATGAAATTTTCTTCAGAGATAATAAACCATGACTTTTTGGCTGCTCAACAATAATTGTCTCTTATTTGTGAATTTATTTGTAGGCTCTTTTTTATAATGAACGTTCCTAAGTTGCTGTGTATGAGGGTTCTCATAGAGCAACTGGTTCAAATCTAAGCAAACCCTTGAACATTGTACCTGAACTCATCCGCAGTTCCGCCCCGAGACAATGTGAGAACACGGGAAGCTGTGGCTTGCTGCTCCTGCCTCTGAGCATCTTTGGGATCTGCGACTTCCATCTTCCCCACCGTTTGTGCCCACCTCTAGCCTCAGCGAGAGCCCTCCGGACGTGAAGCTTAATGACTTGCCAGTGTACTAGTGTTAAACTCATACCTCTTGTCACACAGCGGGAGCCGCCACCGCCACCGCCGCCGGACTGGCCGCGCTCCGCACGTGTGGGCGCGCAGCCTGTGTGCGTGCTTCAGCGTATGACTTCAAGCCACGCTCCAGCTTGCACGGGGGAAGCCAGTGTCGTTGGCGCCCTTAACATAAACAGATGTTGTTCAGTGCATTCGGTGTATATTGACTTCCATACTGGTTTTTCCAAAAACCAAAGGTAGCTTTGAAAAACCATGTGTGGAGATGTTTGGATCTGACGTTAAGCTGATGACCTTTGGGGCTTGGAGTAGTATATAATGACTTCATAACTGCGTTAATTGTATTGTTAAAGTGTTTGAGAGGTTTTTGCGCTTGTTATGTGGAAATAAAGTGTTTGATTTTTAAAATGTTCAGATGGTTTTGATTTTTGCTTGGCCCTCTGTACCAGCAGCTCTGTGCCCTAAGCCACTTCCACTCCGGCGTCTTCCGGTCCCTGCCGCCCTGGGCCCCGCACTGCTGCAGTCCTGTGCTGTGTAACAGGCAGCACTCGCACGCACAGCTTCGGCGCGCTGCGCCCGGAGGTCCCCAGCGCTGCACGCCTCAGTCTGCCTCCTCCTTGGGGTCGGGGTGACTGTGCCCCTGTCCACGGCCACCTGCACTCGGCGAGTCAGGCAGCCGTGCTGGACGCATCCGGAAGGAGCCACAGCTGGCTCCTGTGGTGGCTGAGGACCCAGCCTGTGGCAGTGCCTCGCTGCGTGTGCAAGGGGATGAAGCAGGGAGTGAGGCTGCCGTGAGGTCCCTGGTGGGAGACGGCACCAAGCCAGGTGGTGGGTGGCACGCTTGGGCTTGGCTGGTTTCCTCCCCAGTTCAGATCGCTTCCTGCTGATCCTCAGGTTTGAGACCTGAGGGGTGGGGTGAGTTTTGCCCGGTCAGAGTTTAAGCCTCAGGAGCCTCTCAGGAGCCTGGGCCTCTGACCTTGGTGGGCCAATGGAGATGGCAGTGGCGTGCAAGGAGTGCGCAGGCCACAGGTGCTCTGTGTATGGGCCTGGCCCAGGAAGAACAAAGTCGTCCCAGTCCCTTAGGAGAAGGTGGAGGACATGGGGTCCTTTGGGACCTATGGGCCAAATTTTGACCTTTAATTGCAGGTTCTGCCCCGTCATGACTTCTCATCTAAAAATACTGTTTTGAGGGGCTAAGCAGATTTTCTTCAAAAAGTCCCCAGTGCTTGAGAAGGATGCGTCCCTCACAGCAGGGGCCACCTGCACCCACAAACCCCACTGGGTGTGCCGCAAAGCCCCTCCAGGCACTGCTGCTGGCAAATCCAGGTGGCGGTGCTTACTGTGCGAAGGGGGTAGAGAGTGATCCTGTGGCCAGGCCAGCCTTGGGGTTGCAGCCCTGTCTGTCCCAGCCCACAGGGCCTGGACACCGCTGTCCTGCTGGGAGAGGCTGCAGGTCCGGGAGGCCTGGTTGGTCTGTGTGCTTTTGTTCTCCATACTGGGAATTGAACCTAAGGCCTTCTCGCTGAGTTACATTCTCATTCTGTCTGTCTCTGTCTCTTTCTCTGCCTTTTTTTTTAGATTGTGTGTCCTTTTTTTTCATAATTTTATTGAGAAACAAATAGCAGTGAGACAGTTTCAAATCAAATTGGTAGGACAGTTTCAATAGTAAACACATTGCATTCTGCCTTTGTTTTTAACATATATTTTACTTTTTTTTTTTTTTTTTTGGTGGAACCTGGGGTTGAACTCAGGCCCTTGCACTTGCCAGGGAAGCGCTTATTCCACTGAGCCATCTCCCCGGCCCCTTCATATATTTTACTTTAACTTTGAAGTCCTGGGGATCGAGTGTAAGACCTTTACACTGAGCTATCTCCCTCACCCTTTTTTCAAACAGGCTTTCATTAAATGTCTCAGATTGGGTTCAGGTTTGGCAATCTAGCCAGGTGTGATGGTACACACCTATGATCCCAGCACTCAGGAAACTCAAACCAGAAGGTCACCCAGGAATTTGAGGCTGGGCTGAGGGGCAGGAGGCCTACTTGGCGATGCCAGCCTGAACTACTTAGAAAGGCAAATTGGTGAGCCAAGCTGTCACTCAGTATTTTGAGTGATTGTTTATTTTGTTTTGTTAAGGCCGGGTCTCACTACGCAGCCCAGGCTGGCCTCAAGCTCTAGGCATCCTCCTGCCTCAGCCTTCCGAGTGCTGGAGTTACAGGCGTGCATCACTACACCTGGCTCAACAGAATACTTCTGAAGTAGCAGGTATTTTCAGCGCTGCTAGAGGACGTGTGCCCAGGCTTTTGATTTCCAGGTGTCAGAAAAGTAACTGAGGTAAAACAGGACACTGAATATCTGAGGGTATTACTGCGGCTTCGTGGATGCCTACTGGAATAGTGGCAAGAGGGTAACACACAAATACAAAAGAAGAAGGGAGCCCCTGGGCCCTGCTAGAGTTTGTCTGCCACCGCTCTGTCACTGTCTCTCAACAGAAAACCCTTAACTGTATCCCAGGCAGGCCCTAATTTTATATTAAACCAGGACCTCACTGGCACTTAGGAGGCTAAGACAGAAGGCTCCGTGCAAGTTCAAGGCCAGCCTGGACTACACAGCAACACCTTGTGCTGAAAGAAAAAAAAAAGCCCGGCTCCTACGAAGTTGCTGCAGCTAGCCTCCAACCCACCTGTGTGCCACATTTGTGCCCACTGACGCACGGCAAGCAACTGCAAGGAGGGTTTTGAGACGCAAAGCTACAGCTGATGAACACAGCAGTAACCACAGACAGGCCTTACTACGTAAGCAGCAATCAAAAGTGTTCTCCTTGTGAATTTAATTTTCAGCTATTTGGGGGTTTGTTCATCTCTTACTTTAAATTCAGTCACATTGTCTAGTGTCACTAGTGATAGGTCAGGATTCAAGTTTCCCAGGCACCCTGACCCCAAACTCTCTCCCCCTTGGCCCCACACAGAGCCAAGCCTAAAACCTCAGAACAAGTCCGCCTGACTTTGACCTGGGCAAGTGACCACAGAAAGTCTCCTTTGTTTTGTTTTGTTTTGTTTTGCAGAACCGGGGATTGAACTCAGGCCCTTGTGCTTGCCAGGGAAGCGCTTGTTCTACTGAACCATCTCCCCGGCCCCTCCTTTGTTTGTTAACATCGAAAGTCCCCTACAAAAAAGAAAAAGAAAGTCCCCACAGACCAGGTAGCCCTGCCAAGGTTAGCTCTCCCTCAGCTCTTCCAGCCCATAAGCACCCCTCCTCCCTCAAAACACCCTAACAGCCCTGTGTTTCGCCTTGTGCGCTGCTGTCTTGGTCCACTAGACAGCCAGCCTGCTTGCTCTCGCCAATAAATCTGCTTGCATCAGAATGCCTGGTCTGGTCAGTTGAGTGGGTTCATACCTAACATTTGGTGCCAAAAACCCAGCAGGGATGCCAAGGCCTCTGCCAGTCTGCCGCCAACCAGGGTCTTGCACCAGTCTGCCGCCAGCCCCTGTGGGGTGAGCTTCAGACCAGACCCCCAGTACCTAAAACTGTGTGTATCCCTCATTCAACCCCTCCTAAAAAACAAACCTCTCCCATTGTTCGACTTGTTTGGGGGGAAGATGAAGGGGGCCATTTCTCCTTTAGGACTCTGGGTTTTGCTGCTCCCTCCACAACTTTAGCCCGGATGAGATGGCTTTCTGTACCTTCACTTTCTCTTTCCTTCTCTACACACCTTGAAGATAAATGTCGTTCCTGGACGGCTCACACACCTCCGCCTCCAGCCCTTTACTGCGACTCCTCTGACTGGTACCTGGAATAGACAGCCTGTAAATTCCTTCAGGGTTCCTTCCAGGATTTCTCCAACACTGCGGTCCTTTTCTGCCCTGTAATTTTCTTTTTCATCCTAACTTCTCCCTGTGGGTGACTATCTCTACTTTGGACAGCTCAATGCCTCTAGGCCCATGGCCCTGTCTGGTCTGGTGACGCATGTTGACATGCCAAGCCCCACTTCTTCCTGCCACTTGGACGCCTCTCTGACTGGAGATGCCTTCTTGGAGGGCTTTGGCCCTATGTCCCGCTGAGATTCCTGCAACATGAGCATCACCTTCGGTCTCCTCCCACTCCCCCCACCCCTATGTCTTCTTACCTCCACGGGCAATTCTT